CGGGGTCTTGCTCTGTTACCTGAGCTAGAATGCAGTGGCACCATCATGGCTCACTGCAACCTCCAACCCCCAGGGGCCAAGCAGTCCTCCTGGCTCAGCCTCCTGAATAGCGGGGACCACAGGTGTGTACCACCATGCCCAGCTAATTTTTCTTCTTTTTGTAGAGACGGGTCTCGCTCTTGCTCAGGCTGGTCTCGAACTCCTGACCTCAAGTGATCTTCTCACACTGGCCTCCCAAAGTGCTAGGATTACAAGTATGAGCCACCAGGCTTGGCCTCTAAGCTCTTTCCACCTATGAATTGACCAAAAGAAAAACAGATCTTATTTGCATACAAAAAGTGAGACTAGATTAAGTAAGGTTGGATGACAAATATGACAAATATTTGCCTGTCATTTTCACTTTTATTTTGCTACCGAACTCTGACACTTCTGGCCTTTGAGGTTTACTTCATTAAGTTCTATTTTGTATTGAGAAATGGACATGGGGCTTCAGTTTCTTGCTGTCTTAACTAAAGGGGATTATATGAGGGGCTACCTAAATGCACTGAACCATATGCCATTTGAGTGTTTAAGAAAAGGCTAAATGAATAAACTAAGTGTCACCTTCAAATCACAACTTGGTAAGAGAAAAAAAAAAAAACACTAAGTTATCACCTGGTGGTTATGAGCACAGCTACCTGGGTTTGAATCCTATCTCTGTGCCTTAGTTTCTTCACCTGCAAAGTGGCAATGATAATGCCAGCCATAGGCTTCTTGTGAGCTGGCACATGGCCTTTATTTTGCATTTCACCTATATACTCTTTGAGGGCACCTGGTTATTTAATTATTGGTGATTAAGTGAATGAATAAATGAATGAAATTATAAAAGTCCTTTACCTGAGCTTGGATACAGTGATCTGAGCTTATTGAATGCAGAAGTGATACTCTACACTAAATTCAGTTCATTTAATCCTACATCCCACTATGCCCTCTCTGTTCTGCATAGTTTAACCATTTGCTTTCTGAGAAATATGATTCTTCAATTAGGATTAATTTTACGGGGACTTGTTTTAGAAAATGACTTATTTTTTAAGAATGGGTTATAACTGAGAATACTTGAATATGATGACTTTGAATAATTTATGTGCTGGGCCTCCCAGAGTATAAAGTTTATGCCCAGAACATTTTTGGAAAGAGGAAGTTGGTTGAAACTGCTAGATTTTTTTAAAGAGACAAAATAATTATGATTATGTTCTCAGATATTAAATTTTTTCTTTCTGTGATTTTTCTAGAGAATGAAGATCTAGAAAATGCCAAGGTCACCTCTCCATCGGCCTCTGCCTCTGATCCAGAACCATGTTCCTCACCTCACAGGTAGGGACAAGCAACTGCTTTGGATAAAATGCTTCCAGAGGTTTTATCTTCTGAGATAAGAAATCTGTTGAAGAAGTAGGCAGTGACTTTAAGGGGGAAGACAAGTTGAAGTAAAGGGTATGGATAGTTTTGTCATTAATTAACCCTCAAGTGTGTTTAGGAGCAGTATCAGATTTATTTCAGGTTATAAATTTTTCTTTCACTCTCAGAGAATAAAACTGTAACAAATAGTCTAATGTAGAGTCCTTATTCATCTTCTCCTGAAGACCATATTCAAGTTTTAAAACATTTGAAGTAGATCCCAGGTGGACTTGCAAGAGAATGTGGGTTTGGTTTTTACGTAGAAAATGCACACATACACACAGTCACGCAAACGATTGGAGGCAGTATTTTATTATGTAATGTTTCAGATTAAACCATAGCGATGACCTTTAGGTTTTCATTCTTAATTTTCTTCTCTGTCCATCTCAACCACCCACCATCATTGATATCAGAGTATATAACAGAAAGGGAAGAGTTGCACTGAGCCCTAGAATGAATGGAAACCAGGAAACATAAATGGAATAATTAATGAAAAGCCATATTTTGGAGAACTGAGCTAGTGGATGTTGTAGTCCAATTGATCAGTTCATGGTACAGTTTTGTCCAGTAGAACCTGTGGTCTCCATGCCCCGTATAAAATTGATGGCTGGGGATAGAGGGACATGGCAAGGTATTTTAAAAATCTGTTACTTGTATTCTATTTAGAAGTTTTTTTCCTCTTACTTTTGTATGTGAAATAATTCATGTAATTAATATAATTATAATGTAGTTGATGATAATATAATAGCTACTCTTTATTGAATGTTTCTCTGTAATAATAATAAATTATCTACTTTTTGGGGTTTTGTTTTGTTTTTGAGATGAGGTCTCGTTATGTTGTCCAGGCTGTCCTTGAACTCCTGGGCACAAGTGATTCTCCCACCTCAGCCTCCCAAGTAGCTGGGGCTACTTTTTTCTTTTTTGAAATAGTTACTTTTATCAGATATTTCTAGTTGCTAAATACTCTACTAGATGTTAAAATGTATTATCTTGTTTAATGTTCATAACAATGCTAACGAAATAAGTATACCTACTTTTCTTTTTAAGATGAGGAAAATGAAACAGTGAGTTCAGTAATTTACCCAAGTTCACATAGCTTTAGGTTTGTTCCACTTTATATCTTATTCTTATAACTAACAATAGAAGGTTTTGAATTCTGTGCTTAGAGCTGCTAAGTTACTATCTGTAACAATCCTTTTAGAAGGCAAAAGGCTT